CAGGAATGAATGTCCCCATCGTCCCTGCGTCCCCTTCCCAAGGGGCTATATCTGCCAGCCCGCCCAGGGCCAGTGAGTGTCCCAGCACATTGCATGTGGATGCTGAGGATGCAGATATTTGGTGTGGAGCATGTGAACCTTCATGAGGTGGGATGCCTGAAAAGCAGGGCTCTGACCAAAAAAAGGCAACAAACCAGCTGGAGAGACAGGAGCATGGCTCTCAAATCTCCAGTGGAGCCGAGCACTGTGGCAGTGCTGCAGTGGGGAGGCCATGCAGAGGGTGGCTGGCACCAGTGGCTGTTTCCCAGCCTTTCCAGGGGAAGGAAAGGGTGTCCCAGGGGACTGGCTGTGCTCAGAGCCAGGCTTCGGTGGCAAAGTTCAGCTCCTGGCTGTGCAAGGCACCCTGGGGCAGTTTGTTACGAAGTTCTCCCCATCCCGTGGCCCCTCCCAGAAACCCAGCGGCCAGAGGTTGGGCCAGGCACAGTGTGACACGGTTTCAGGGGCCAGCACGGCGGCAGGACGAGTGTGCACAGCGGCTGCCGTTTTCATTGTCTGTGCCCCACGCGCACACCACCTCCAGGACACAGCTCTCGGTGAGCTCCTGGGGTAGAGACAGGACTGGACACACATAACCCAGAGCATTGTGGGTGCTGCGACACCCCCACGGCACCATCTTCTCCTTTGGCACCACGAGGGGGGAAGACCCACCGTTAGGACGCATTTGCCCTGGGCCCCCACCAGACATTATGGGCATCTTCCCAGGATGCAGGGAAACGAGTGTGCAAACGTGCCCGGCTCGGCTCCACGCCCGCACGTCCCCCTCTCGTACGTCCTGCACGGGGCAGACAAGGCGCAGGCAGCGGGAACAAACCCGCTCCCGCTCAGACGGAAAAATCTCTGAACGAGCGCGACTTGGCTGAAACCCTCCGGCGAGGGGCTGTAAATCTGCTCGCTGTGATGCTGCCAGCATCCTGCGGAGCACTGGGTCCAGGTGGAGAGTCCCCGCTCAGGCAGGAGGGGAGGAAGCTGTCTGCAGAAAGATGCCGAATTTATGTCGCTTGCACTCGCTCCAGGAATGCGGTGAATGAACTCGCAAAGCCCAGGGCAGGAATCAAGCGTGCTTCAGCCCTGACCTTGCCTGACTTTCTTCCAGGCTGAAGAGGAGACGGGGACGAGCCCCACAGCCCATCTGAATTTACCGTGTGCCTTTTCTTGCAACGGCTTTCCCCTTCCCGAGAGCCTGCACGGATGAAAGGTGATCATCAGAGGCCAAGTCTTTCAGCGGGTTTCAAAGCTGGCTGAGCAGGGCAACCCCCTTCTGCTCAGTGTCCAGGGAGGGAAGGGAGGGCAGCAGCGACACAGGGCAGGCCAGCCTCCTCCCTCGGGGAGGGCAGTAAAGACCACACACACTCAAGAAACGTTCACATCCCGAAGATGGGGATCATGGCAGATGCCATCACTGTTGGCTCTTGCAGGCTCTCCTAGAAAAGCATTGACTAAAAAGCACATTTACAGGGGGAAAAAAAACCCCAACAAACGCTCGCCAGCTAGAGAGGACTGTCATGCCAGGGCTTGCCCTTCTGCAGCGATCTCTCCTTTCTCCCTCTAACACTGCTGCCAATGCTTATTTTAAGTTAAAGGTGTTTTTAAGCCTGTGCCCTCTTGATGGATCAAAGAAAACCACAGGACATGCAGGGTCCAGTTTCTCTAACTGTATCAAAACCCTTCCTCCTCCTCCTCCCAGTCAAAATCGGCTAGAAGATTTTAATCTTGGTCTTAAGTCCCCCAGGCTTGCACACCTCCCATACCACTACCCAGCACGCCAGCAGAGCCGTGTCCACGTGTTGTTAACCGCCCTCTCCTCCGCCACAGCCCTACCTCGGTGGTGGAAAGCGGCTCCACCATGACGCAAACTGACCATCCAAAAGAGGTTCTCAGGCTTCCTGAGGTCTGGCTTGTGTAACGCTCACACCGAGAGCCAGAACCCGCAGCAGAGCTGGCACAGGCTCCAAATTTCCATTTCAAAGGAAATTTCAGCGTGTATTTTGCTTTACAACTCTCCAATAGTGTCCC